GGAAATCATGTCCACTGTCCTGCTTCACCTGCTCCACTACATGTAATAAGAAATGAGGATTTTACATTTTTTCGATCACTGTATTTCAGCCTAAATTAGCATCTGCCATAATAAAAGAAGAAACTAAAAATAAATTGTGAGAAAAGTAAAAAGAAGTTTTTACTAAAGTGATATTACTAATGAAAAACCCAAAGAAGTTAGTAGGGCAGCTTTTCACACTTCAGAACATTTCCAAAGTTCCCAAAGAAAAGGAGATAATAGATCAGCAAACTGAACCAAAACAGATTTTGCTATCAGATGTCATCAGATGTCAGCACAGAGTGCAAACTTTCAAAAAACATTGTTAGATTCAGATTGCAGTCTTCCAAATCTAAAACAAATATAGAGAAAAAAATGGAACAAAGAGCTAAACAAATAGTTTAGCTATGAAAATCTATAGAATACATTTTAAGCATCTCAGGCACTATATTTATCTATTTAAGTATGAATTTAAATTTTCAAACTCTTAATCAAGTATTTGTCTCATCAAAGGTGTCTTTATGTCACATTACTTAGGAAGAAAGAAAATACGATGCTATTCCAGTTGTAGTAGGGTGAGTTCAGCTTTGCTGTCTCCATTAGAGTGCAGCAGAACTGCATTAGGTCTAACACATTTAAATCTTTCATTAGAAATAAAATTCAGTGTAGGAGAAGAAATAGCATTAAATTTAATCCTATTTTTACAGATCACTTAAAAAATGAGGCATAAATGATGGCTAAAAAGGAAAGACTATTTGGGACAAGTCTAAAGCTGTTTGAAGAGGCTGCTGTTTGTTCCTCCAAAGGCTATTCACTGCAGATATCTTGGCATTTTTTGGGTACCATACAACAATACAGCAATGCCAGAGGTGCACATTGTAGCACCCAGTCTTAATTCACTTCCCCCCAGAACTGTCCACACCCAGGTTAAAATGCCATCCAGACCTCTAACTCTGAAAAGCATCTTGGAAACACCTTCCCATACTGCCCTGCTAAAGTTTTCACCCTACCTAGATTGCTTCTCATGCACAAAACAGCGAGATCCCTCACCCTGAAAAAACCATGAGGATCCCCATGGGCCCAGTTTGCCTTCTGAGCTAAATGTATGGTCCATCATGGACACAAATTGGAAAAACACTTCATGCAGCAGTAAGAAAGTTCATTGGATGGTTCAAGTCAGGTTCATCCCTGGCTTCTGCCCTTTTTACAGTGAGGAGATGCTGGCACACATTTTCTTCACGTGTGCCATGCTGCAGCCCCTCTGGCAAACACTTCTCACTTCTTCATTTTTATTCTCCTTATCAAAGACCATACCAAGTCCTGCAACCTTCTCATCAACATCCATTAGCCCTTGCCAAAACTGCAGTCCATGGACCCTGGAGAAACAAGCTCATCAAAGCTCCATTTTTCAGTTCTTGTCCCACCACATCTCTAGGAAGTGCATCCCTGGCTGGCTCACACCCGAGCTCTGGGCACTTTCAGGGTGTGCTGCTGTTTTTCAGTTCTTGTCCCACCACATCTTTAGGAAGTGCATCCCTGGCCATCACACCCGAGCTCTGGGCACTTTCAGGGTGTGCTGAGTGCTGTTGGGAGTGTTCTGTCCCACATTCCCCTTAGTTCCCCTCTTTCTTTTGGTACATTTTTGTCTTTCAGCAGTCTTCCTTTTTCTCATTTGTCATCCAGTTTATTAAGTTTTCTCTTTCTGTTGCCCACCCTCTCTTTTTTCTTCAGTTTTATAAACAAGAGAAATATTAAGATTTGTAGAGGTGGTCTGGTTTCTCCACAACAGAGAAAACTCAGTGGCCATGAGGGGCATGGTTGCTATCCCTACATATCCTGTGTGGCAGTGAGAAGGGACAGCTGGCTCAGCAGCACATCTCCTGTGCTGACTTCTCCATCCCACAGGAGAGGGAGATTGCATCCTGCTCTGACACCAAAACTCTGTACCAGCAGTGCCACCACTGCATCATCTCTGCTGCCACCATCCCCACCTGCACCGCTGACCTCCCACCCCCTCTGCCCCAACACGTGTGGGGCTGCAGCAGGGCACCTCTCCCCACGCCTGGCAGCCAGACCTCCAGGAGCTCAGGGGTGGGAAAAACCAGCTGCCATTCCTGTGATGGGGATGGGCAACCTCAGGCAGATATGCTGTTAAATCCCATCTGCATGGAGGGGAAGCCTGGAAAGTATTGTTAAAAAATACATATTACATTTGTACACACAAACAAAAACACCCAAATTAAAACTCAATCTCAATACAAGATAATGAAGCTTTCCAAATAAAAGGTGCATGTTTGTCACCATGAAAGCATTACTGATGCTGAGAAGGACTTCTGTGACAAAAAAAAATCTGTATGAAATCAAGCAACTTTACAAAATATATACATATGCAATTATATATTACTACTTTTACTAAAGTAAAAGCAGTAGTATGTAATTTTTCTTCTTTCAGTTTGTTGGCAACAATCATTCAGAGTTTGTAGCTTCTGTAGCTACTTCCGTTAAATGTATCACACACAAGGAAATCATTATGCAGAACTTCCACACAAACAATAAGTATTAATTTGACTGTGGAAACCAAGACAACCTCCCTCATCCTAATTTACACAAGCATGCTCCAAAGAATCCTAAGTATTCCTAAATCTGTTCTTTAGTGTAATCAATGTCTGGCATTCTATACAGTCTCACGGTTACAAGTGGCAAAAAGCAGGAAGGGCTTTAATTAATTATCCTATATTAAAATGTACTTTGAACATTATCTGTGAAAGAAGGGACCACTAAGAAGACATTGTATACCAGACCAAATCCTGGATTATAATGGAGCCCTCTTAGTGACATCACTGCTTACAAACTGCTACCATCCTACCCTAGATTCACTTATCTGGAGAAAACACTGCCCCCAGCCAGGCCTCACCTCCTCAGCACCTCTTGGGTGCAGGATGAAGCCAACACTTCTGATCTGCCAGCATAACCACCCACAACTGATCTAGCTGCGACACACATTAGAATCTGGCTACAGATTGGTGTCACAGAAACCCCTCCACAGCAGTGCCTCCCCTCTAGTTCAACACAAGTGTTGTACAAGGTGTCCTACAAAGAGTAGACTTGACTCCAACCCAGAGACCACTGAAAGTTCAGCCAGCTTCGCTCAGCAATCTCCTGGGCCCTAGGAGACTGGTCTCTGAAATCAGTGGAAGATCTTCTGACTGGAAAATACAAGGTTTTTTGTTCTCAGTTACCTAAAATAAAACTACAGAGGTTAAAGAAACATTGTAAATTCCTAGTATAACCATTTATGACATTGGCATATACTGTGGAGTCCAAAATGCTGGAGAAATGTATTTTTTATGAGCTATTTGTTCTCAGCACACAAACTGTAACTGTTTTTTAGTATGTGCAATTCTAGACGCATTAAGCATAAACACAGTCAGTATTATAAATTCTTGACTCTTTACTGAGATAAAAAGAGGGATATAAAATTATCCAGAAAAGTCAAACAGTGAATGTTCCAAAGCTATATATAAAAAAAAGCAAATTAATGAATCCTTAAACATTAAATCACCAGCATTCCCTCACATCACATTTCTCTAGAGAAATTACCTCCACCAACTTCTTCCCTTTTCAAACAAGATGTACACCACAAGATTCTACGGAGTTGAAATAGAGCAGAAAGAGAACTGCAGGGTTTCCTTGGATCTGTAAGGGATTTTAAAATACTATTTAACTGAAGTAATCAGAGAGCTACAGGTGTTCACTTTAAGATATGTTTTGCAATCTCTTCTTCAAACTCGTAATCCATTTTCACAAGTTACAGTCTTTACAGACAAACACATTAGGTCCTGATTCAAACAGAACTGAAATTAATTTCTCACTGAAGACTATCCTCAAGTGAAATCAATGGACTGAATTAGCTAAAAAAAAAAAAAAAAAAAAAAAAAAACCCACCAGAAAATAAAGGCTTAAAATTTTTAAACATTAACATTAATATCCTAAATATTACTCTAAGTATGAAACTGTATTTCTAAACTAAATTCATGCATCAATGTAATGCAGTGGCTCAATTCAAAACCCAACAAAAGAAAATTAATGAATGCCTATGGAGAAGAAATTAAACACTTTCATTTCTGGCCAAAAAAAAAAATTGCTCAGATAAAAAATAAAGATAATTTCATATAATTCAATTACACAGCAGATTTTGTCTTTCAGAGCCTGAAGCATAGTCCTGAAGCTACTCAGTTGCTATAAATTCCTTAAGTACCCATTCACAGCAATTGGGAGGAAAAACTGGGGATTCAGCTTTTTGTTTTTTCCTAATTTGACAAGTACTGGAGATAAAATTGTTACTTTCTAATTTGTTTTGGGGTATTTCCTTTTTTTTTTTTCTTCTTCTTTTCTAAAAGTTCAGAAAATAATAAGAATAGTTTGAGCAAAAGTTTAAGACTGACAATTAGAGCAATTTGTTGTCCCTGAATTCCCAGAAGATAAGCTAGTTCTGGCAATCACCTCTGGTAACGTGCTCCTCTACTAAGGCACAGACACACATACAGGCACATGTGTACACCTTCTCAGCAGAAAGAAATAAACTGATTAAAAATACATCTATGTCTAACTTGGTTTAAGTCACTCACTGCCTGTAGATACAACACTGAATTGGCAAGGGTCGTATCTGGCATCTAAAAGTTTACTCTAATTAATAAAATTTCAGTATATGGACTGTTACAGGACCATCCCAGGGATGCAGAAGACAGGGCTAAACTCAATTCTTGCAGCTGACACCCTGGAAGCTGGGGGTCAGGCACAGCCATTTCCAGATACCCTTTCACTTCAATTAGTACCACCTAGGGAAGAAGAAGCACAGGCACCTCACAGGTTGGAATAAGGGGATTGCAAACCAGGGATGCCTTGTCTAGAGAGGTGCTTTACCTTTCATCCAGCCTCAGCCCAGGTTGCAGAGAGCTGAAGTGGTAGCTCAACTTTCCTACCTGTCAGCACTGAGGGCGGTGAGGGTGAAGACAGAGACACCAACGGAGGTCAGCTGGATGACAGGGATGAGCTTGCAGCCCACTTCTCCAAAGAGCCACTCTTCAGAGAAATACCGGGAGGCATCCACAGGCACACAGGTCACTAGCAGGAGCAGATCACCAGCAGCGAGGCTGGAGATGAAGATGTTTGGCACACTTCTCATGGCGCTGTTGGAAATGAAGATCTTCATGAGGGTGATGTTGCCCAGCAAGCCGACAGTGATGATGAGCAGGTAAAGTGAAGGGATCACACAGCGGATGACGAACACGGCCGTGCCTCTCCCCGGGGACAGCAGGGCTGTGTCGGGTGCCAGGCGGACACTCCCATTCTCCCCGAGGGGCACTGCTGTGAGCTCGGGCGGGGGCTCTGGCTCCATCCCACAGCTTCGCGTGGACTGAAGGTCTCCAGTGTAAAGTGCAGTGGGAGCCACAGGAAAGCTTCACCTCTCTGCAAGTCAATCAACTCCCCCCCCTTCTCTACCGCCTTTCTTCCTACCCCTTCTTTGCCGAGTTTTCTCCCTTAAGAAATGCAGAGGAACGTCTGCCGCAGCAGTGGCCGGGGAGGGAAATAAAAACTCCCGTGCGCTGCCCCTCGGCTCCTCGGACAAGCCTCTCCCGGTGAGCAGGAGATCCTGGGGGCAGAGAACGCCGTCGGGACAGCCGCTCCCTGCCCGCGTCCCGGGAGCGCCGCTGCCGCGGCGGAGAAGGCGCGGTCCGGCCGCCGCCGCCCCGCGGAGCCGCCGGGGGGCCGGGGCAGGCACAGAGCGAGCCCGCTCCTCACTCGGCAGCACCGGCTTATACCTGGTACCGAGAGGGGCCGCCCAGCCCCGCCCCGCCTCCTGCGAGCGCCTCGCCCCCGCCCCAGCCCCGCGCCGCCGAGGTGGATCCCGCGGGGAAGGGAGAGGCGGATCCCGGAGCCGCCGCCGTCCCGAGGGGTCCCAGCTCCTGAGCGCGATGGGCACGACGTGGTGAGAAGGAGGGGAGAGGGAAGGCGCTCTCCCCGCCGCTGCCCACCGCAAAGCAGGCTCTGCCCGGCAAACCGGAGAGCTGTCCGACACGTCGGACAGAAGGCAGGATCGCCTCCGGAAACTCGTCTTTCAGCATCTTACCCAGGTGAAACCACAGTGCTTTGAAACGCAGGGTGGCAGGGAGCGAGGGGCATGAGAATAAAGAGATTTTATTCCTGACATCCATCCCATGTGGGTTGTGCATAGATTACTTACTCAAAGACATCATCTGTGTTTAAAGTTTTAAGGTTTGATTTGTGAAGCTGCATTTCACAGTGGTCTCTACTATGGAAAGGGGGGCAGGTGATGTGTTCTATCCATTACTTACTCTGCAAGTGGTATAACACAGTGGAGAATGAATTTTTGTTTGCCTCTTTGAAGAGGAGAATTTGTCTCTAACGCTTCTTGATTTTCAGTGAGAGTAATGTCTTTACATCCGAGTGTCTGCACATGTATAGGCTTTCCAAACAGCTCCATCTGTTTCCAGCAGAAGCCATGAATGTAGGTAGTCATGTACATATGCTGGAAGACAGGCAGACCTGTTGGACTGAAGTTTCCAAGATGAAATGTAAAAGTAGAATAACAGCATTGTCCAATAACATGCTCTGCAGACTGATTCCTTTATTTCTTTTTCTCAAAAGAGAAGATTCATGAGAACTAGCTTGTTCATATCACTACAGCAGTTTTCTTGAAGCTCTATGAGTTTATGACAGGTCTGTGGAGAATCTGACCACTGAAATATCAGAAGCAAACCATGTCACATGTGCATGAACTGTCCATGGCATGGTGTCTAGAGTAGGAATTAAATCAGTGATTTCTTCTTAAAGAAACTTTTACTAAGGTTATCCAGAAAAGTATTAATGTTTCTTTAAAGTTACACTTCTCTGTATGTATTAATTGATTGTTGTGACTCTTCTCACATCCCTGAATATATAAATGTGTTGAAGTTGTGTAAATTACTGATTCATATAACACTGAGTAATTTGTTTGAGCCCAACCAGTGCCAGGCCTCAGAAAGGATCAAGCTAGATACTTCACCTTTATCACTAAGCAGCTCATCAGAATGACAGAGCTCCTCTGGAGGTGATTCTTGTTACTGATCAAGTTCCTTCCACACAGTTTTAAATTCAGCTATGCTCCCTCTGAGGCAACCTTACTGATGGTTTACATATTTATATAAATTGCTGTGACCCTCTATTTTTATGAGCATATGTGAAATGTTCTAAGATCAACAATAGTCATGTTTCTGTTAACACTCCAAATCCCGCTTTTGGATTCCCATTGGCTGGATCCAATGTAAGTCTTTGATTCTGTGAGTTTAACACTGGGAGTATGGTCCTTTTGCTAACTTGTTTGAAAATGGGTTTATATATCAACAGACAATATTATTCCCATTGGAAGAATAGTTTAAATTCAACTTGTCTTTAATATTGATTTTCTTGGGACAAGAGGAAGCTGAGTCTTTTTGCATGAATACCAACAAAAGAACCCTTTAAATACTTCTATTGATATGAACTTAATGCAGTTTGCATGGAGAAAAGTGAGACCCCTTGCTTTATGTTTCACAACACTACCACTTTTTTTGCTGCCTTCCAGGAGAATTTCTTCTATCCCAGTGAATTTTATCTGTCCTTTAGTCCACAGGATGGAATTCCTCAGGTTGAAGAATTAGAAACATTTTCAGTGGAAATTTATATTCCTGATTTTATCAGTACTTGATTTTATCTATTTCATGTTTTTTAGGACTCTAACAGCAAGGAACTAAGCTTTGAAGAAAATGAGTGGCTCCAGCTCAGGGAAAACAGAAAGTCAGACAATGCTTCTCCTGCAGTATGAATATAATTCAACCAGCTATCATATCCAACCAATATTAATATAATTTCCTGCAGAGGTAAAAAGGCATGTGTGGGGAAGATCCATATGACATAAACCAGTCTGAATGCAGATCTCCACATACAAACTGTTCATCATTCTCTTTTCAAAAAAGAGTCCACCCATGCCTAGATGTTATTTCAGATTACAGCCTAGAGACAATTTCATTGTGCAGCTTTGACACAGTACTTGGCCCAAGAGTGAGGGAGAGAGTGCCACTGGTGAATCACCCCAGTGGGAAAGAAACTGCACAGGCACAATCAGCCACCACAGATGGAGTGCAACACCATAGGGGAGAAACTACAACTACTTGGAAATGTGAGAAGGAAAACTTCTTCATCAATAATCCCCAAATGTAGGGATTTGTAATCAGTTCATGTAGGAATGAGGAACTCCACATATCTCACAAACGCCCTCTACTGAGAAGTGTGTCTGACAGGAAAAAACACTCTTCTCACTCGTTTACGCAGCTCAAAGCACTCGATAATTCAAGGGCTAATTCCAGATTTGCGCATCACAGCATGTGTAGTCCCATGAAAAGCCAAGCATATCTGCCACCAAAACTACATGCAGTAAGTAGCCTTAAAATAAGTATGTGTACTTGCACATTAAATGAAAACCGGATTCAGACGGAGCCGTGGAAGTGATCATGTTTGAAGGCCTGATCATCAGTCAAATTTTTAAAAAAAACAAAGCAACGACCAAGGAACAAATACCACTTGAATTTAAACACTGAGCATTAGGAACTAAACCTTCAATAAATTTTATATTGTCACACATTACATCAGTAGATACAGCTGGAAAGTGGGCATGCATTGTAGCAGAGTGACTTTTTCCAGGCAGTCAAATGTATAATAACCTGAAGTAATTCACTGGTTTTTTCTTGTTATTTCAATGGAAGCTTTCTTATTTTGATGGAGGGAACTCTGCAAACCAAAATGGAAATTCAGGTGCTTCCAGCACTAGACAAAGCTGGAAAGCTAGCAGCTTTCTCCAATATTCATGCAAGTTCTCTTTTGGGAAACAAAAACTTATCTTATTGATATCAATTCAATTTTTTGTACCATTTTCATGGTGCTGATTTTATTTATGGCACGAGGGTAACAGGTGCCATTATCTTTAACCACATTAATAAAGGAATGAATTGGGTGCTTAACATTAAACATGCAGGTCATCCCTCTAAGCACAACTGTAGCTTTATGCATGCATTTGCATTCCATTTGTTTTACTGTATTCATTCAGTAGGACTTCAACTCATTAAAAGGTTAAAGAGCACACCACTGAGCTGCAAACTGGAGTCAAGATCCAGGCTTCAGGCTCACTTAGAAACAAATGTGATATCAACATCTTCCATCCCATTTGTCCATGATAGACAACTAACAGACAACTGCTCCTACAGATTCAAAACAAATAATGATTTTCTGTCAAGGAAGTCTCAAGAAATGGCTTGAGTTCCCTCTGCACTCAAAAGGACTGCACAATGCCAGCTTACTTTACTTCCATCTCAAGTTATCTTCCTAATGCGATGTTAAGAAGCACATTATTGAACACACATGACAAAAGAAAAACATTGCTATTAGTTCCTCCTAGTGCGAAGATAATGGGATTCCTGTGCTTGAGCTCACATGACATTGGAGCCATTTCAAAGAAAGTGACAATTTTATTGTGGGCCCATTCATCACACTCAGTGGGGTTTTACTGCAGACACCCATGGGGTTTGTATTGGGTTTATCTGACAGCCTCTCCAGAATTAATTTGGTTTTTTATTTCAGTGCAGCTGTATTCCTTATGTGTTCCTAGAAAAAAATCAGAGCATTGCCAGCTAAGTCTTCTTTTAGTATCTTTATCACATGACAGAGATTCAAGTTTCTATATTGTTACTGAGGTTGATTGTGGATTGTCTTGTATCCACATCCAGTCAGGTAAGTAATTATGTGATTCTCACCGAAAAATAAAAAGATACAAAGCAGCATTTGTAGAGAGCAGACTTTTACCTAAAATGTGTTCTGAAACATTGTTTCTATTTATAGTGGAATCAAATTCTGATCAAACTTTATGGGTTCATGTTCATCAATTAATGTGCAAATAATCACTACTCTACCAAGCATGAAAAAAAGCTTTGAAAGATCTATCTCCATTTAGAAACTAGAAGTTGTTGAGTTTTTCTATTGTGTTTTTAAACATTTCTATTTAAAAAGATCCTAATAAATACAAATACAACTACTTTTTGAGGTACATTCAACAGCAGATTTTCAATAGGCAATTCACATTTTAAAATAATTAAATTATTGAAATATTACTGATATTAAACATGCTGAACTAATTTAGTCATTTCATAGTATTGTGGGAGCACTAGAATTGCATTTGGATGATAATTAAGTTCCATATGTGTTGAAAAACAATTCACTGTGACCAAAATCTGCATTTTGGTGAAGGTCAGTCACCATGCTGAGAACCACAGTGCTTTATTGCAGATCACACACCACTAAGAGACATTACTGCTTTTAGTTCATTTGACATACACAAACCTCAGCATTGTCTCTACGCAGCAGAGCAGCAGATTGCACTAAAAACGTTTGGAAACCCAGTCTGAGTTCTATCGATACAGCACCTTTTACAGTACTCCAGGACACAGACATTTAATTAACTGCCTGAACTAGGAGCTGAAGTAAAATAACATGCACTTATTGGAGCACTTTTCACCTTCTTTGTAATATACTTCAGTAGATGCAGGGCAGGTTCCCTTCCCAAAGGGCGTTCTGATATCTTACAGCAGTTAATTCAACCATGTCATTAAAAAAGTCATTGAGACATTTAGAGACACAAAAGCTAAATCCATACATAAAATAAACACCGATTCCCATCACTTCCCTTCTTCTGCCAATGTTTCCATGCCTATGAGCATACATGACAGAGGGAACAATGCTTTTTGATACATCAGCTTGAAGTCATGCTGCATCCAAGGGAGGCTCTCTTTTGAGTTTAGAGGCAAAACAGTAACTGCCCCTCTCTGGATTTGGTGACTCGATTTCACTTTCCTGTTCACGCCAAATAATACTGCATACCATTCAGTGAATGACAAATTAGCATTTCCCCTTTACTGGTTTCCTATCTCCATCCTTCCACCCTCCATCTTCCCAAAGAACTCCCACAGGGTTCAGACGACTGAGTTGAAGTACTTCCTTGCGGCAGTTTACCAGCAGGAGTGTCTGGCTCATGCACGGGCTCGCATGCACAACTCTTCTGGACCTGCTTCAACTTCACATACTGAGTACCCTGGCAAATTATTAGTAGCAATTATTGCCATTAAGTTATTTGTAGCAATTTGGAAGAGCATAATATTATTTGTTTTCATTCAATTTCTGTTTCTTTGAATTCAGAATCGTGGGTCTACAGCTTCCAAGTCCCGCAGCATCCTTTTTTACTGGACTTAGTTACAAAGTTGATAAACTCTAGCTGTTCCGGCTGGCGGTGCGGGGCCGGGCGGGGTGATGGTCGGTGCAGCGGTACCGCGGGGCGGCGGTGGCAGGCCGGCGGGGCAGGGGCCGGGGCCGGGGCCGGTGTTAGCGGGCGGCAGCGCTGCTGACGGTGCTGCCCGGGGATTATCGGCGGGCGCCGGCCGGCCCCGCTTTTGCCGCGCCCGCTGCCGGCCCGAGCGCGGGGCCCGCGGGGGACAAAGGGCGGAGCGAGCCGGGGCCGGGGCCGGGGTCGGGGCTGGGGCCAGGCCCACACAGGGCACCTTCCCCAGCCATGTCCCCCAACTACATCCGGAGCTTCTCGGAGGGATGTGTGAGTACGCGGGGCGCGCCCCGGCCCCGCCGGAGCCGGGCTCCGGCCCCAAACCGCGCAGGGGCAGCGGGGCCGCCCGGGCACGGCGGGGCAGGCGGCCGGAGCGGGGCAACAATTGCCCCTCTGGGGAAGCTGAACTTTGATTTGCGGGAATAAGTGTGGTTCTAAGCATGGTTAGGTTTGATGGTGGCACGCCGGGTCGTGCTTTGCCGTCACCTGACATCATGTGAATGAATCAGTAGAACAGCAAAACGAATAGACTTTGGGTCGAAGCGCTCAGCTCCGTCTGGCGCCTTCTGCAGCAGCAGAATACAGATAAAGGCAGTGAAACAAATGAACTGGCAAGTGCTAGACAAATTAACGTTTATATAAAGTTAGTAGGAACAATAAAGCGTTGTAAGAACATTATTTTGTTAGAGAGCTACTGCACCCTTCATAGGCAAACTGGCTCTTTAAAACAAGTAGAATAAAATAAATATTCTGGATAATGAAAAAAAGCAAGTAGACCTCCAACAATAACACTGTTCATTTTTGTTTTTTATTTTGAATGAACCCTTTGACTTGCAGCTCAGGCCGCCAACAGTAATTGGACAATTCCACACTCTTTTTTTTGGCTCAATTCGAATGTTTTTCCTTGGTGTTTTGGGCTTTGCTGTTTATGGAAATGAGGCCTTGCATTTCAGCTGTGACCCAGACAAGAGAGAGGTTAATCTTTTCTGTTACAACCAGTTCAGACCTATAACTCCTCAGGTAATTATATTTTCCTGTTTTTTCATGGTAAAGATCCAATGTAAAGCAAGTAAACTGCAAAAATTAAAGCATGATTGTTCCATATAAGTACTAACTGATTAGGCTAATTATCACTAGCTTTTTTCATTAATATTTTCTTTTTAATATCCCTTTAGCTGTGGCTAAATATGGAGCTATATTTTCTGTCCTTCAAAATAATGCTCATGGTTCAGAACCCAACTAAACTTTTCCAATCAAAACATAACTGCTTTTTACTTTTATTGTCATCTAAGCTTTTATACATTTGATAAATATTTAAAAACAGACTTGCAAAATGTTCCAATATGCGTGTGTTTTAGCTGTTCCAAAGCAGATGTAAATGATCTGACAGGTACATTTTTGCTATATTTTAGGTATTCTGGGCATTACAGCTGGTGATTGTACTGGTACCTGGAGCCTTTTTTCACCTTTATGCTGCTTGTAAGAGCATCAAACAGGAAGATATTCTCCAAAAGTCATCCTACACTGGTTTTTATATCTTCTCTGTTTTCTTAAGGATTGTCCTTGAAGTTGTGGCTTTTTGGCTTCAGATTCAGCTCTTTGGTTTCAAAGTGAACGCAATCTACATGTGTGATGTGGGAGCACTTGATAAAAAGTTTAACGTTACTCGGTGCATGGTGCCAGAACACTTTGAAAAGACAATCTTTCTTATTGCAATGTACATGTTTACTGTGATTACAGTGATCTTGTGTGTTGCTGAAATTTTTGAGATCTCATGTAGAAGGCTAGGTTTTCTAAAACCTCAGTGATGTCAACTTGCACTCATTTACTGCTCTGTCCACCTGCAGCTTTGTAATAATGGTTTCAAACCACAGCAGGAAAACATCTCCTGCCCGCTATGCAGTGCTGCAGAAAAGAACCACACTCATGGTTACTGAGGCAGAATAGTCACTTGACATAAACTCCTCACCTAAAAACTTGCACACTATGAGAATAATCTTTGTTTCCATGTCAAGGTCAAAAGCACTAAGATCTCCAAGAGCAGTATATTTTCATGACCTGCCACCTATGATAGTTCTGCCTCCAGAGGAGTGTCTGTGTGTGAGGAGATGGTTATTTATAAACACATTTCTATTCACAGCTTTTCTGAACACATGCCATCTGAGCTAATAAGGCCATTGCACTTCTAGGAAAAATTGCAAATTTTTTACATGTTCTTATGGCTTGAGAATTGAACAATAATAGTGGATGCTCTCTGGGTACCAGAAAGCATTCAAGCATCTTCCCAAGAAGTGCCACTGAGATGCAATCTGCAACTCAGCCCCCGGGGGCAGAGACTCCTGGTTAGGCTGTGGTGACAACATATCCATGGATACCAGTTTAGCCTGCAGAGGCTCAGCTACTGTCACCTGCTGGCTCAGAATCTCCTTTTAAAAGTGGAAGGTATTCTTTGTGTTGATTGCAATGCCTAATTATGTTTTGGCTTACCATGTAGAAGATTTTTACCAATTTAGTATGATCACATTTTGAACGAGGAAAAGGGCTTTTAACAATTTAACATAAGCGGCTTCAAAGTGTCAAAATAAAATCTTGAAGAAAAGCCTTTCCTAGGCCCAATTATGATTTGATTTCAATGTATTTTGCTTGTGTGTGACTGCCAAATTGGGCCCACAGAATTTTCTGCTGTTTGTGTCACACCTAACTTTTTCTTGCTCTGACTAAAGCTGTTAGAATAACACTGAAAAAAGAACTCTGCATATTAAAATTATTCTATGCAGTAAGTATATTGGGTTAGGTTAGGTCTTAAACTTTTTATAGGCATCAGATGTTTTTGTGTGCAACAGCTTCTTCTTAAGGTCTAATAAACATACTATATATAGAAGTGATTTCCTTGTGCTGAAGTGAGATAAAGAAAAGAAAACAGATTTCAGAATCAGAAAGAAAGGAGGAGGTATTTTCCTGTATAAAATATCTACAAATAGCTATAATAACAATCAACGATTTTCCATCTGTTTTTCAAACATAAAAAGCTGAGATCTTGATAACAGAATCTGGGTAATTCCAGAAATATTTAGAAAATTCTGGAAAAATTCTTACCAACTCTTTTACCACCAAGTGTTTAGTTAATTAGCCCAAAACACAGTTGAATTATAACAGTCTTGTAATTCTCACCCACAAAAGTAAACCTGCCAAATAAATGGAATAGCAAGTTTTAGGTATCTTGGATTTGATTGAATCTATGCCATTTAAAACAAAGTGGGCTACAACTAGATGTGTGGTTTTTTGATATGCTGATCAAGAACAAAACTATGTATTTCAATACATTTGCTATATTAAAACATTAATATTATTTTTTCCCTATGGAAATAAGTTATATTTTAAGTTTTCTTAAATGTCCAGTCAAAGCTATCAGATTTATGCAATATTAAACTAGTTATGTGATATTTGCAAGCATTGCAAGTGAAATAAAAATCACTGTGCTAACTTGGTGTTTGCATAATAAGCCATGTTCTTTGGTTGATACATGTCTGATTTTTCACTGTATATGTCAATGTCCATCTGGAATTATTCTTTCCAATTGAAACTTGTAATCTCAGGTAAAAAATATTTAGAAAAACATACCGTATATAGACTACTAAGAAAAAGAATTTACTTTCATGTGCTAGGTACAGTTGTTACCAATGGTACACTTGGAATCCCACTTCATCAGTTATTTGTATAATAATAAAATAACCTAATCACAAACTTGTCAGTATTTTCCCTGGTGCTCAATATGTCATTGCTTGTCATTCTCCTGTAAATTTCCAAACACTTCAGAAGGGTCAGAAGAGTGCCAAAACCCCCAAGCCCTCAAGAGTTGTTTATGTTCTTGTTACCATCAAGAGCCTTGAAGAACAAGTATTGGTATGGGACTGTCTGAGGATCCCTAGAGAGAGCTGGATTACTCACCACCATGGCCCTTCTCTTTGTGGTCACAGTTTTGGAACATATTAAAATTTTCCCTTCTTCCAAATCAGATACACTGTTTGGTTTTTTTTTTCTGCATTTCCTGTGGAATGAAAATTGTCAAATTCCTCAGTTTTTCATTAAAAAAAAAAAAGTGCATTATTACCTTTTAGTGCAAATGTTTTTCTGTGCCTCATTCTGCCATTCATTTCTGGAACACATTGATGGAGATATTATGTCCATGTAAAGAAATCATTTCCCCGTGGATGTCAACACTTCTCATTCCTATATTTGCCATTTGTTTTCCTGGCACTCATTGTATTCTCAAGTGTCTATAAACTTTTCTTTTGCTTAGTCTTCCAAACTCCCACTACTTTCATCCTCATTTACATTGTTTTCTGTCAGCTTCCTTCCACCCTTACTCCCTCTGAGACTGATATGCCTTCATGCAGTTCTCAGTGTTGAGCTGATTTTTGCTCAAAGGCTTAGCAAGTATTTGAGATGCTCATGAAGGCTTTTTGTTGTTGTTGTTTTTGCCATTAAGAAAGGAATTTATAATACAGTTGGGGATTCTTTGATTCAATTCTATTTCTTTACACAGTGAACATGAAGTCCTGTCTCCCAGAACACTGAGGAAGCATTTTTGTTGCTTACATCAGGTTCACACTATAAGTGCTTTGACTTTTTTATTGTTTTCCACCATACTCTAGCCACCTAATTTTCACAGATAGCACTCAAAGCAATCCCCAGCTCATGTGTTTGTAGTCAGTTTTGTCTCTAGTCAAACATCATGACTATTTCAGTTCTCACTTAACAGAGAGCCGTAATTGTGACGTGATTGCATTTACATCAAAGGTATAGCTGCTCTGGGCCAGCCAGCTTCTAGTACAGCCCCACAGCATCCCAGTCCTGTAACCATTCCTCATTCTCTTCCTTTCATGGATTCCTCTCTTCTGTTCAGACATAATTTCCCTTCTGCTCCCTTTCTGGCACACTCCCATGCCAGCAATGAGACAACGCAAGCTCTCCTACCCTGTGCGTCCCTGCAGCATGCACCCTTCTTTATGCCCTGGAGCACTGACATTCTCTTCCTTTGCAAACAGACGCTTTGAGCTCAAGAACAGGTTTGGCAAAAGGGCTACCTAAAAGAAATGTAAATAAAGTTTTAACTATGCCATCAGAATGAGGTAATAGAAACTAAATTTATATTGCAATAACTTATGAGATCCATTTGAAACCATTTTGCTTCAACAGTTCACTTTTCTTGTGCTGTTCTTATCCCCTCTTCACAAAACCAGAAATCCCTGGAGGTTCCTCTGAGAAAAAGTTATCTGGGAAGTGGTAATCCTAGGAGACAGGAGATGCATGTTCCAGGGCTGACAGACTTTCTGATATCCACCAGGAAGCAGCCCAGTCCTATTAGCCAGGCCATGGTAATATTACAAAATGTGAAGTATGTTAAATTTTCTTATGAAAGGATTTTTTTTGGATGTTTAATCTTCAAATACTTTCAAACTTAATCTACAACAAGGAAGATTTAATCTGTGAAAACAGAGAGCAGTTAACAAGCAAGCTCTAACTGATGTCCAAAAACAAACCACTTGGTAGTAGAATTGCCTTGTTTACCAGGTTTGCATTGTTTGCCAGGTTTAGAGCTTGACATTTTTCATCCATCTCAGACTCTGGGGGAGGTTAACAAAACTTGGGAAGAAGGATGCCCACTGGTAGTTGACACAAGGAATGCAGAAGTTACAGGCCACAGGGCCATTTGGCAGAACTCACAAAATAAGGAAGAAAACTAGTATGTTCCTTATAATAAGGCCACTCAGCTGCTGCACTGCAATCAGCTCCGACTGGGTAAAAGGCAGTTCTGGCAGGGGGAAATCCTGACCACCAGTTCATGGACCAGTGACCCAAGAAAGCAAGAGAATCAACTAACAGAATACAAAAAACTAACTAATAAGAGAACTACTGTTCTCTTATTAAAAACAAAACAGCCTTCGTTTGCTAAAATGTATAAATAGTAAAGTGCTGATAGTTGGGGTGCTTGATTTATGGAATACCCCCAAAACACCCAGGCTGGCACAACTCTAAAATTAATAATCAATACCTCTATTGAATGTGTATTTATTGGCTGGTGGCATACCAGGTAACTAATTAGATTTTTGCAGACAACAGTTTTTGGGGATGAAGGGCAGAGGCCCAGAAGTTGAGGCACAGTTCAGCCCCCAAGGGCCTCATGGACCTTGGCGCAGCCCCAGGAGAAGTTTCAGTCTGAGAAGGGATTTTACTTGCAGGTGCACCTGCACAGGCCAGGCCTGCCCAGCTCTCTGGGCTGGCCTGCCAAAGGAAAGGAGGCAGCAGGGACGGGGAGGGCGGCACTGCCCAGCCCTGGGCGGCCGGGGCCAGGCTGCAGCGGTGGGAGCAGCCCCGACCGCCCCGAAGTCTCCAGCCTTCCGTCACGGCTGCTGTGGGACGCGTTTCCAGCACTAAGGGGCCACGCAGGTGGCGTTTGACACTGTACGTCCCCACAGACGGACAGATGGATGGATGCACGGACGGATGGACAGGCCCCTCCCGGCCAGCAGAGGGCGGCAGCGGGCGGAGCGCTGCTCCGTGGGATGCGCGGGGGCGCGGGGAAGCCCCTCCTCTGGGCGGGGCGGGGTGGTCGCGGCGGCCCCAGCCCCACCTTGCGGAGTGCCGCCTCTCGGCGGTCGGAGTGCTGGTACCGTGTAAAGCGGTCCTGACGGGACAGTCCTGATCAGAACGGCAAAAAATAACATCCAAGAAGTGGTTCAGAGTTTTTGTCCTGTGTAACCCTGAATGAGTATTTTGAGTTTTAAAATCTTTAGTGCTGACAGAAGCTTTCATTTTCTCCTCTGTGGGGCTTTGTCACTTTCCCGGAGTTCCCGGAGGGAGTGGTTTGCTCTTTTTCTGCTTCTTTGGCTGAATTGAGCACAGCAAAACCCTACTGTAAAACTTGCAAATTAATATGTAAATTTTTCAAGCTGATGTGGTTTCTAAGCTAATGGTTGTCAGCGTGGACTGTGAGCCTTTTTTAAAGACTTTGAATAGTGCATTAAGAAATACAAGATTGCTGTTAGTCTTAAATTCCTGTTACAGTTAAGGGACACTGGTAAAGGGCCTAAGACTAGCAGATTGCCAGAAATGTATGTTTATGTTGTTGACAACCCACCCTTAAAGGGAAGGTCATCACAGCATTGGTATTTTTGTTGAGATATTAGGTCATTTGAGGGGTTTACTTGGCTTGTCTTCAAAAATAATGAAATAAAAAACAGATGTAGACCTAACTGGTAGTTTTTTTTCATTAGGTGATCTTAATTTGGAAGAATTAAATAGTGAAATTCAGGTTTCAGATAGCTCTGAAAAAGCTGTCATCTGAGTGACAGAAGAATAATTTTATTTATTCTGTGTTACACAGGAATGGTGTGCTAAAGTGCAGCCAGAAGGTGAGATAGTCACATATTAGAGCACTGGATGTTCTCACTAGTACTAGCTCTTTATTTACTGGAAAAACACAGGACAAGTGACACTGTGTGGCAGGAAGCACCAGCTAGGTCAGGTTGCACTTAGGCGTTTTTTGTTTGTTTTTCTTTATTTCTTTGGATTTTTCTGTCAGATGTAGCACACTGTCTGGCTATACAAAAAAAAAGACATGCATTGGTGTAGGTGAAAAAATACAAGTCTGTTTCAAACCAGAAATGTTTTTAGTGTTCAATCTCTACTTTTCTTTGTCTTTTGCAAACTTACGTCTTCATGTAGAGGAAAAAACCTATGTTGGATAATTACCATTTTCTGTAAAGTCGTTTGCCTTGTCTGTCCTAAGTAGTCTGAAAGTTTTTATTTTTTCATCTGAGGACTTCGACAAATCTGTTTCATTACTGAATATAGCAAAGACTGTATTCTAGAGGTATCTGTTTCATTATTGTATTATATAAAGTAAAAAGCACTGACACCTCTTTTTCAAGTTAGATCTTGCTCAGATCCTTTCTTTTTTTAAATGCACAAAGGAGAAGAATGTGTTTTCACCAGTGTTCCACTGATGACACACACTTCCTCCCATGGTGGGTGCGTTTGGATTGAAGAAAATGCAGTACTCGTGCCCCATAGTTGTTTGTTTTTTCTTCATTTAGTTCTGGCATTGAAGCAGAAGTAAGGTTTATGAAACATTAATTTTTAACATCATGGGTTTGGCATAATTACATGGAATCCCAAAGTATTAATTATTAATATTGCTACTGTCAAAAAAATGTACTGTATATTTACTCCTAGCATGCTATGAATAGTAAAAGCTTTACTAAAAGGATAGATTTTTAGAAGTGTAGAACAGGGGTTACAAAAAGATTTCAGGATTTCTTTCAGATAATGTTTTGAAAGCAATGTGGATTTATGTAGGGTTAAAGCAATGCATCTCATTAGATGCTTCACTGAAAAAAGTGAGCATCTCTTTGTGGAGCCTTTGAAATGGGTTTCAGCAGAGCTCTATTCATTTTATATAATTTTATATTGCGGAAGGAATACAGTGAGGAAAGCTCTGTGTGTGCTAGATTGTGTGTGGTTCTCTGTGCTGGCACATCCCCACCAGCCTCATGTGAGGCACAGCAGAGTGCACCCTGTGTTGTTGAAAGGCCGTGTTCCATCCCAAAGCTGCTTATGCAGCCACTCTGTGTAGGGCATCACAGGTTAGCTGGTGGATGGAACTATCAGTCTCAACAGTGATGTGTTTATAGCTTTGGAATGTTGCCATGAGTGGCTCATACCCAGAAAAAAACTTCAGTCACAATATCATTAATGTTGCCATGGCACAGCAGTTTGCAGTACGGGCATATGTATGCTAGGTTTTGATTTATATTAATTTTAGTTAAATTGCACTTTTATATATGTAATAATAAGAGCTGTGACACAATTTGAGGATTGGTAGCAAGTGAACTCTGGCAAGATGTTTTTGCAACATAAAATGCTGCTTTCTCTAGC